GGAGAACCCCTACCCCTTCCAGTGCTCCATTGAGGACCCCACCAAGCAGACCAAGTTCAAGGGCATGAAGAGCTACATCGCCTACAAGCTGGTGCCCAGCCACACCGGGCAGCAGGTGCATCGCCGTTACAAGCACTTTGACTGGCTCTATGGGCGGCTGGCTGAGAAGTTCCCCGTCATCTCCGTGCCCCACTTGCCGGAGAAGCAGGCCACCGGCCGCTTCGAGGAGGACTTCATCTCCAAACGTCGCAAAGGCCTGGCGTGGTGGATGGACCACATGTGCAGCCACCCTGTACTGGCACAGTGTGACGCCTTCCAGCACTTCCTCACCTGTCCCAGCACGGATGAGAAGGCTTGGAAACAAGGCAAGCGCAAGGCTGAGAAGGATGAGATGGTGGGTGCCAATTTCTTCCTGACCATCAGCGTCCCCACGGGCCCTGGGGCCAGCCTGGACTTGCAGGAGGTGGAAAGCCAGGTGGATGGCTTCAAAGCCTTCACAAAGAAGATGGACGAGAGCGCCCTGCAGCTTAATCACACAGCCAATGAGTTTGCCCGAAAACAAGTCACTGGTTTCAAGAAGGAATACCAGAAGGTGGGGCACTCCTTTAAGTGCCTCAGTCAGGCGTTTGAGCTGGATCAGCAGGCCTTTTCCGCCGGCCTCAACCAAGCAATAGCCTTCACTGCAGAAGCCTATGATGCCATCGGGGACCTCTTTGCAGATCAGCCCCGGCAGGACCTAGATCCCGTGATGGATTTGTTAGCGCTGTATCAGGGGCATTTGGCCAACTTTCCAGACATCATCCACGTCCAGAAAGGTAACACCCTTACATTTTTTTCTGAAACGATGAAGTTTTATGTGTCAGTAGTATGCAAGCAGATGTCAGGACCAGGGGCTAAATTTGACCTGCATCTGGCTTGCTGGTCTTGGGTTAAATGTTTCCATGTTTACTTAGGTAAACTGTTGCTAAAAGTTAAAAACAAAAAAACAAACAAAAAAAAAAAAAAAACAACAAACAAACAAAAAAAAAAAACCCAAAAAACCCCAAAGCAACAACAACAAAAAAAAAAACCCAAAGAAACTACATCTGCCAGTGCTGCTGATACATTAAAGATTAATGGGCTTACTTACAAGCCCTGAAAATCAGATGGTATGAGAACATCTGTTACTCTTTGAGATACGTTAGGTAACTTATCTGTGATCTAGTAGATAACAAATACGAAGGAATCTGAAGATGGAGGTGCTCCTCCGATTGACCACCTTGTTTGAGTTGGGCATGGTGGTGTGTGCTTTTCGGCAGTGTCAGTCAAATCAAATGTTTAAAGCTGCTGGAGTTTCTCAGTTCAGCTGTGTCTTAAACTCGTGTGGTGCCTTTTCTTAATTGGAGTTGTTCATCCTTTGCCCTATCATAAAAGAGATATTGCTCACCTCTTACGTGTTCAGTATCTTTCTAGCTGAAACATGCTTCTGAGGCTCAGATTGGTGTGACCCATCGAAGAAAGAAACTCCAAAAATTAATCATCTGCTATGTAACTAGTGACCCTTGTTCAGATCAATAGAAGTTTATAGCACTATATATGTGTAGCTGACTCTCTACTGTTAAATTAATGATATTCATATATTCTTCAGCATTTTGAGAAGACTAGTCTATCATGCATTCTTTTTGCTCTTGCATTCCTTACCTGGAGTTTTCAAACTGAAGATCAGGGGCAGGTGAGGATTTGATCTGTAAAAAAGATGAAGGAAACATGACATACACTCTGCAGAAATAGATGTGTGTAACAGTTACCTGGGAAATTGCATGGGCTTTATTGAAACTATTTTGGACATTAATAAGCGATGTTCTGCATCCCAAGAGGCAGAGATTGAATTGTCAGCCTTGGTGAGTCAGTCTTTTGTGACCTTACGTGATATTTCCAGTACTTTTGCATCTGGAACAGTACCTTGAGTTTGATGATAGAAGAGTGGAAAGAGTTTTTTCAACAGATCAGAAAGACAGGCTTCTGGGAGGTACGCACAGTGGCTGAGAGAACCTGAGGAGATGGAGTCGGTACGGAGCGCACAGTTTGTTGTTACTGAAGGAAGTAAGCTTTTCATAAAAGCTGTATGCATCAAAGTCAGGTTGCCATTCTCCCCTTGAAAATTGTGAGTGGAAACTTAAACCATCTTAATGGTTAATATTATTTTTAAGAGAAAAGGGATGTGTGCAATCTAAGCTTTGAGGAGCTGTTGCACTAGCTGCTGTGGCGTTGCGTTCTGATAACAATTTCCAAGTATTTTAGATTTGGAGAGAAGGGTGGCCTTGGCAATGCCCTGTGTTTGCGAGTATAGCATTTTATGGCAAGTTGTCAATAGATGACAGGATGATCTGTAATTCTGGAAAAAAATAAGGCAACAATTTCTTGTTAGGTGGAAGAAAACAGCAGATTATATATACTCTTTAAATAACATATCCTCAAGCTTTAAGACTGTCTAGGTTTCTTCACTGCAGTATTTTTGGAGACAAGACTTTGAAGAGAGGATTTAGAATATTAAAGTGTGTGCTTGACTCAACCCTGTTTCTTTTATAGTTGTGTTTGAATTAGTTTTATTGGTTAGGCTTACCTTACTGAACTGGGGAAGGTTCATCTAAATGAGCCTCCACTAGTTCAGTGCATGAGCATGACATAAGTAGGGTTGATTTTGTGCCAGAGCCTGTTGTGGAGCTGGTGGAGAAACATACAGCCAGTCGGTGTGCTGGTGTTAATGCTCCAGAACCTCTGGGCTAACACTGCCTTCAACAACAATATTCTCCTTGGTAGATACTTGCCGTGAAAAAATGGCATGGCTTTGAGGGGCTGGTCTCTTGGGTGTATCCACGTTCATGATAGGAACAGGGTTACGTGTTTGTTGTTGTCTGCTGTTCCTGTTACAAAAAAGAGAAACTGGAGGAAAGCTGAGAGGCAGATGGTTTTTATATGAAATATATTGCTGTTTTATTACTCTTAAGAGTTACTTCTTAGAAGGTATAACTTTTCAGTTAAAAAATGTGAATTTCAGATTAAAATGTGAACCGTTTAGTGCTCTTGCAACATAAGAACTTTCCTTTAAATTTACTATCTGGGATTGTTGCCAATTTTGAGAATTATTGTTGTCTGTATAGACTAAACAAATATCTGTTGGTGATATTAGATCATCTGAATAATAGAGTTGATGTCTTTCTTCAAGTGTTTTATTGCCTAGTGTACAATTTCTTTGTGCGTGAAAATGGCCCCAAGGTGCCCTTAGAAGTGGTAGAAATAAGCAGCCTGATTGATGCATTGTTTATATGGCCATGCTTTCGAAAAGGTGAACTCTTACTTAGGAGTAGTTCTCCTTTGTTTTCTTCACGGTGCAAGTATCCACTTGGGATAAAAATTCAGGCCTTTTCTAGACTCCATTTCTGTATTCCCTTAGACCTGAGGACAACCAAAAAATAACGGTAGCTGTACCCAGAACAATGCCATGTCCATAGGTACAAGATTCAACTGCATTGTCCTGTTACGGGTTTGCTGCACTGCAGATCATTGAACAGCTGCTGAATGTGATTTGGAAGTCTGTTTTGTGGTATGGACTGAGAAGTAGTCTGCATATCTGGGTTTTTTTAATCATTTCTGCAACTTCTGCAAAAAGAGTGACGGAGAATCTTTCGGTCAGAGACAAAAATTTCCATTCGTTTGGGCTTTGTCTTTTCTCTTAGAATTATGAATGAAAGCCATGTAAGCCCTAGTGCCGCTTTGTCTGCATTTCAGCAGAAAAATGTGTTAACTGTTGTGGTTTTAATTGCTCCAAGTTCCAGGTCTTTCTGCCTCCTGTGCTGAGGACATCATATGTGATCTGAAGTGTGCAGAAAGCGATTGTAATTTTGGTCACTTGTGTGAAACAGTGGGCTGTGGGAATACTTTAAACTGTTTAATACTTCATTAATACCTTACGTACTTTATGAAGTGGCAGTAACTTCAACAGAAGATTTTAAAAGATTCCTTTCCCTCAGCATCCTTCATTTTGAGCACACAGTGTTTGAGGAATTTGCTGTGAGGGAAGGGGGAGTTGAGGCATCTGCTCCAGAAGAGACAGAGGAAGGATTTGAAGTTAAAAGTTGATCTTCAACTGGAATGTGGGACAGAAAGGTTCAGTGCTGTATGAGAGGTCTTGGTTTTGCGTGTGCTCCAGTCCAGGCCTGAAGTTTCATTGGACTGGGTCGTAAAGCAAAGAACGCACCACGCTGGAAAACCCACATTTCCATCTTGAAATTCTGAGAGTCAAAATTTTGGTTTGAGAGTCCCACTGAGACTGGCACATAGCATTATCAGCCCCAAGGCATACATCATTTACAAACAGGTTGTTGTTTTATAGGTTTTAGTTGGAAAACTAAGCGGTTAGGGGAAAACTGGCACCTGTAGGGGTAGGCAATGGCAGAGTGGTGTCTTAAGCACCTTAACACCCAAATACTTGTATGAATGTAGCCCTCAACCCCCCCACAGATAAATGCTTCTAAAGTGTTAGCATGAAAGTATTCCTGCAGATACCTGTGTTTTTCGGAGTGGAAGATCTAAGTATGTTAGACAGAAATACTTGTACCCAGTACCCAGTTTTCTTTAGCCTCTGGCAAAACATTTGCAGAAGAGGAATATTAAGTTTGGTACGCTCAAAAACTATTCTGTACTTCTGTAATTTTCTTTTGCAGAACTGGTGTATCTTTCAAGAAATGAGAGATTTAATTCCTTTAGTTTGAGAAGCAGCCTCCTATCTTCAGTTGTTAAGATCTGCTTGTGGAAATTCCTTAGGCATTCTTGGCAAAATAATTCCTAAATATTGATTGTTAGAGCTTCACTCAACTGATGAGATCTTCAAACTTAAGTAATTTTCAGCATAAATGCACGCTGCAGGCCCATGCAAGTTCAGGTTCAGTAGATCTGTGCAGATGTGAGAATTTGTGATGGTGTATGCTGGTACTGTAGCTCATGCTTGTCTGGCTATCTTGCCTTCACATTTGCTTAGTGAGAGTGGAGACGTTAGGAGCGTTCGGATTTCTGTCTTTCTCAAGTTTTGTTTGAGGAAATACTATGATTGGCCTCTTGTGATTCCTGAAAGTGCAAAAAACACTAACTTGCTGTTTCATCTCTGCTTTCCAGATTTCTCTCTTCTCTTAACATTATGATGTTAACTTTTGCAAAAATCGTAATCAAAAGTTTGTCTAAACAGATTTAAGAAAGGAGTCTAAATGTTTTCTGAGATGTAGGCAGCAATTTTATTTCCTCTGCATGCCAAGATTTAAGAGAATTATTTTTTAAAAAATCTGAATTGCCTTTTTGCTTCTTCATAGTTGTTTGTGAAAAGTAAATAAGGGAGATGGTCATATTTACCTGAAGGAGACTTAGTTCTATACATGGGCTTTAAAGAATGTGCTGAATGTGTTTGTAGAATATCCTACAAAACTATAGGTGAACAAACACTTCAGCTGGAAATACATTAAAATTTCAAGCATCAAAAAAAACCCCAAACAACATTGAAACCTGGAACACTGTAGCATTTTCATCAGTGTTATTTTATTTTCAGGGAGAAGGAGGGGTATGTGTGTTCACCAATAAATCAGACTGGTCCGACTTCATGCCTAAAATTTTATATCACAGTGTAAAAGCAGCGCTTTCTCTCTTGCTTACTTCTAACCTCCTAAATTTGTTAGGCAGACGTGTTTTTTCGATCCCTATTTTTTCTTTCATTTGTATTTTCTTTGTTTTCCCCCTCTGTCCCTCATATATACATTTTGCATGGGGTTCAACTCAGGTGACTAGTGGCTAAGAACTAGGCACGTAATTGTAGCCAGATGAACCTTAGAAGAGTAAAAAGAGATGGGTACCTACATCTCATCTGTTTAAGGACTTTGATGAGAAGGGATGGATTGCTCCAGGATGACTCGTATTTTTTGCTGTTAGC